AACGGGCTTCTTTTTTTTTTTGCTCTTGAAGGAAGGCAAGAATTATTGGTATTGGGTAGTTGCTTCCAGCACCAGTTCTGGGAACCACGGCTGATTGGGCCATTTCGGTGCCACTAACAGAACAGATTCCCTTTCCTCTCTGATTTTGCAAAGCACGCGAGGCAGAAGTTTCACTGGAGGAAAAGCATACTTGCGTACTTTCGGCCAGCTGTGAGCTAGTGCATCCACTCTCAGGGGAGAGTGTGTCAGTGAATAAAACAGCGGGCAGTGAGTGTTCTCCGCTGATGCGACGACATCCAGCTCCGCCCTGCCGAATACACTCCAAATCATATTGACTGTCAAAGGATGTAATCTCCACTACCCATGGATTACCCCACCCCTCAACAGTAAATCCTCGCTGTAATTCTGGCGTCCGGTGACATGTACAGCCCGGATGGAGAGGGGGTGTCGATCTGCCCACAGAAGAAGGTCTCTCGCCAGCCGCAGCAGCGGCCGCGAGCTCACGCCCCCTTGGTGATTTATAAACGCTACCACTGTCATGCTGTGCGTCCTGATGAGAACGTGACTGTGGAGAATGTCTGGGAGAAAGCACTCGAGTGCTAGGTGTATAGGTCGGAGCTCCAGACAGTTTATGTGCCACAACTTCTCCGTTTCTGACCACGTCCCGAAGGCTGGTTCCGTTTCTGACCACGTCCCGAAGACTGGTCTGCCGTCGCATACGGCTCCCCAGCCCGTGCTCGATGCATCTGTTGTAACAGTCTTTCTCCTGATCACTTGGCCAATAAGAACACTCCGGCGATACAGAGTCATATCGTGCCAAGGGGTCAGCGCATCCTAGCAATCGCGCATTACTTTGATGCGCAAGGTGCCCGTGCGCCATGCGCTCTGTGGCACCCGGCCCTTTAGCCAGAGTGAAGCGGTCGCATATGTAGGAGCCCTAGTTTGTACACTGTCGAGGCGGCAGCCATCTGGCCGAGCGTCCTCTGAAAGCATTTCAGCGGGGGAACTTGAAGACTGCGAGACAGCTGATCAGTTTTTGTGAGCGCTCCTCCGACAGACATGCTCGCATATTGATTGAATTCAGCTCCACTCCTAACAAGGAGATGTTCTGGCTCGGTACCAGCATGCTCTTTTGCATATTCACAGTCAGCCCTAAGCTCTGAAGATGAGCGAGGAGTCTGAGCTTGTCGGTGAGCAGCGCAGTCTCTGATTGGGCTAAGACTAGCCATTCGTCGAGATAGTTCAGGATGCGCATTCCGCTCTGCTTCAGAGGAGAGAGAGCAGCATCCATGCATTTCGTAAACGTACGAGGGGCCAGGGATAAACCGAAGGGTAGGAC